CTCCTAAATCACTCGTACGCACAACTTAAGAACAAATCTGTGCGTACGAACGGTTCTTGCATGAGGCCCATTGCATTTTGGCTTTATATTCTTTTCACAAACAGTTTCAAATACCAACAGTAGTTCAGGTGGCGCTCTGTTCGATTGATCAAAAAGGTAGAGCTTAAGTTTCGTGCATGCTTTGTGTGCAGGCGCAGACCTGAAAGAAAGGGCAAAGATGCACCAGAGTGAAGTTGGACCATTTGTATCCAAAGCAAGGACCCTCATCACAGAGCTGGGTATGGACACTGAAGATCTACGAAATAACTTCAACATTTAACATTTTGAATCAAATGTGTTCATTCTGAAGTACTGACACACTTTAAAAGTACTTAAAAAATAACAAAATAAAACTGTGATAAATAACAAAGCTTGCCATTTCCTCTTGCTTTGTAAAAGTAGAACAAATCTCAGGTACGTGTGAAGTTCAGAATGTAACAACTGCATGCTTTGATAAAACACAGCTTGTGTTTCTGTAGGCGCTTGTCATCTGACTACATTCATTTCTGTGTGTAGTGAAGAAATGTATTAGATTGCCTTGTAAATGAACTTTGTTTACAAAAAGAATGCCTCTTGATGTTTTTTTTGTTGTTGTTGCTTTTTAGGAAACCTTCCAGTACCAACAATTGCTGCAATCGATGGAGCTGCTTTAGGAGGAGGCTTGGAAATGGCCCTTGCTTGCGACATCAGAATTGCCTGTAAGACATTCTAAATTTTACATTAAGATTGTGTGTTGGTGTTTTCTGACCTTTGCACTAAAACTCTGAAAATACTGTATTTATAGTCTGTGATTCAGTTTCGCCCTCTATCCCTCAGAAGAATGGTCATATTTCACTGCTGCCTTTTTTCAGAATAAAATTAAAATCTTTCTTATGAACATGATGAATAAATGGCACATTTCACATGTCAAATGTTAAAATAAACGATTTTTGTTTATATTGACTTGTGAAGTAGGCACTGGGTAAGAATTTCGAATGTTATACTTGCTGTTAGCACCTGTACAGATGTCACTGTATTTTCTGCAATCCTTACTCTTCATACAGCTATGGAGGAACAAAAGGTAAAGCCACTTTGGTTTGAAACAAAGGAGTTACTCAAAGCTTTTGACAAGAAATGTGTGCTGCCAGGTTTGTGTTAATATTTAGAGCAACAGGTAGATTTATCACCTTGACAGCAGACACGTGATCATCTTTAAATATGATGTGTTATCAAAAAGAAAAAAAATTGTGTAGGTCTTCTGGACGGGTTCTTCTCTAATGAAACGTTTCGTCTCTCCTCCAAGAGACTTCTTCAGTCTGAGAGTTTCAGGCAAAATTCAGGCTTTTAAGCCCAGCCTCCATGTGACTGATACATCACATGGCTATCGTTGACACCTAATTAACACCTATTGTTAACAGGGGGTGGAGTGATACTGGCAATAGCAGCACTGTAGGAGGGGGACAACTGAAAACGGAGGCCTATACAAGTTTTTTTCTTTTTGATTTTTTTTACCTGGATTACTGAGACGCATCAGGACATGATGTCTTATATTTCATACCTCATAAAATATTTTTAAAAGCTGAAAACCGCAGGAAACATGTCTTATAACATGTTTACCTAATGGCCACATAGCCTATGTGTGCCACAGAGTAGTCTTTATTTTAATATTCACAGCAAATGACTGTTTTTAGTGTCACCATCAGAGGCGATTGCTCTAAGGCTGCAAGGGAAGCTCAGCTTCCCCTAAAATGTAAAAAAATAAAAAGATTAAATATACACTGTTGTGTGTACATGTCATTGACTAAATATACACTACAACGTGCTCAACTTTTGTTCAGAATCAGCTTCTTATCACTGGTAACGACGCAGCTTTCCTCTCCCTCATTCCTGCAGCTTCACAGTGCTTTAAACAGTCGGACGCTCAGCTTCCACAGAGCTCATTAGCGATGCAAAGACTGTAGTGAAACGAGACGAGTCATTGGATAAAAGCTGGTTTTGTCCCGCCCATCGGATGCTCAGTGTCTCTGGAGGTCTGTGAGGCAGGGGGCTGGCCTCGGCCGCTCAGCTTCTGCATGATGATTGGATGATCTGCCGGAGGCTGAATCCCTTTTTGATTGACAGGGACACGAGCGAATCAGCGGTCTTTTAGTGTAAACATTCCGTGGGAGCAGTTTTTACCTTAGTTTCTGTTCTGAGTTGAACCAGAGACTTTATTAATCCTTTTAGCAGCATTTTCTTTGTTAAAAACGACTAGTGAAAAATCGAGCTTCTATTTCTGGTGGTTGTTTTGAAGTTGCTTATGTTTGGAGACTCAGTTTCTGTCCAGCGGGTGCTGCTGAGCCCCTTCACCATCACAAACCTCGCGTCAGTAACAAGCTGCTCAAATGGCAGACTGAATGTTGTGGACTGGATTTTGGTGAAGCTATTTAATAGTCTTGTTTACAAAGAAAAACTTAGAGTTAAACAGCAGGGCTGATCAACTCCTCAGATTAATTTGGTGCAAAAGCTGGGGAAAAGTAAGATAAAAAAAAAACATTTTATTGATCCCATAGTGGGGAAATAACAGGGGTCTCATTTATAAAGGATTGCGTGGAAACCATACTAAAAGTGAACGTACGGCCAAAAGGC